AGTAAACATGATAGTTGTATTATTGACATATTCAAACGTATGCGTGAACGTAACATGTTTGAAATGGCACGAACAGGTGTCGATTGGTGGTTTTATTATTATTTCGATAATAAATCCAAAGATATTATTGATTTTAGGGGAATAAGTTTATTATATTATGCATGTCGATTTGGACAGTATTCTGTTGCAAAATGGTTATTAGAACATGGAGCTAATGTTAATATTCAAATGAAAAATAAACCAAACAATACTCCATTACATGGTGCAAAATTTCATGGTCATATTTTAATTGTCGAACTTCTACTTGAATATGGTGCAGACGTCAATATTAAAAATGATTTCGAAGCTACTGTTTTTGATGAAGCAATATCTGAAGAAGTAGCCGAAGATTCATCGAATAAAATTAAAGAACTTTTACTTCAATACCAACTTAATTTAAAACGTCGTGAACTGATAGATGTATATATATATTTAGACGAAGGTGATGGAGAGGAACCGATATTAAAACTACAAATAGATCACAAGACTGTATATGAAGATCTATTGCAAGCATTACCTGAAAATTTATGGAACGAGAAATACTATTTCTCTATCGCTGGACGTCCGCTAATTTTCGAAACAAAAAAAACACGTGTAATGTCAGCCGTGTATTGTGCTCGCTATACAACTTCCAAACTTGTTGATACGCCACTGCGTCTCATTCTTCACAAGACATTACTAGATAAAACACGCCATCAATTTACTCGTCATGATCATCAATTTGAACCTCGTCAATTTCAGTCAATATTCAGAAAACAAAATAAATCCAGTCCCTTTTTATTAAAAGGTTCATTTACAGACACACAAACATTCAAAAGCGATAATTTAACGTTTACTTTCTCAGCTAATTGTATCAAAGATGATGTTACATTTAAAGTCGCAACACTTTGCTCATCTGATGTTCGAAAATATGGCTTACCCAATGCTATTTGTTTTTTCAAAACAACTCTTCTCAATGCTAAAACATCTGATACGCTTCTCGCACTACCTATCGTCTCACTTGCTCATCACTCAAATGCTCGTTTATACACATTGGCTATGCCTTCATCTTATTGGTTTAGTTCTGC